TCATCCTGGAGAGGGTTAAACCAGGCTACTCCTTGGAGGCAAGGATTCTGGGGCTTCGTCTGACATACTTTGGACATGTTGTAAGGAGACACAGGTCCTTGGAGAGGGACATCATGCTAGATAGGGTGGAGGGACAGTGCAGGAGGAGAAGGCTCTCTATGAGGTGGATTGATTCAGTGACTGGCGTAATAGGGATGGGTGTGTCAGAGGCAGTGCGATTGGCACAGGATAGAGCAGGGTTTAGGGCTGTTGTGCATAGGGTCACTCTGAATCGCAAAGGACTCGACGGCACATAACAACAACAACATGAATTAAATTAAAAACAGCCTTTTCTAAATTGTTGATTATACAAAGAGAAGAGTTGTTGTTTTCATGTGTGTGCTTTGTTGTTTTTTTTTTTTAACAAACAAAACGATTCTGTGGTATTTGTGAATTTCAGTAGATTGGGAGAGATTGCAAGCATTTTGGAATTTGCATTTGGAAAAGAGAAACAATGTGATGGGGATTCAACTGGAGATTAGTAAAAAGCAAGTTAACAGCTAAAATGCCTGACTGGGTTTGAATAGCATGCATTGGCAGTGGACCAACTGGCCTGGCTTTATGACTTTACTTTCATTACTAACCATTAACACAACAGAGGAGAGTGTGTGTGTGTGTGTGTGTGTGTGTGTGTGTTGAAGGGGGAGAGTGTTTGCTGTTCAGGGGAGTGAATGCTTCTGTCTGCCCTCATTATTGAAAGAATAGGCCCTAAGGCAGATGGATAAAAGAGCAGTTGGAATTTTAGAAATGTATATTTACATAGTTTTCTACAGTTCAGTAATAATCCAGATAAATTGTCTGGGCCAGATGGTTGGTTAGTCAGCCATGCTGTGTGCCTTTTTGTATGCAAATGAAATGTCTACTTATCAAGAGAGCTTTGGGAAGAGTCCAAATGAAGCAGACAATTTGACCTAAAAGGTGATGAATTTGGGATCCAGAGAAAAGAGTACTGGAGCTAGACAACATTGTTTTCTAATATGTTCTAGTGTTTTAATTTTGATAAATTAATGTAAACTTTCTGTTTATCTAACTGCTCCCTAGCATGTGTACTGTGAGTAACCCGTTTCATAAGTGAAGTGCCAGGGATGCTAATGAAATGAAATTTTTTTATATGAAATGAATTTTGTCTTTATTTTTAATGCACTTAAATTTCAATTTCCACAAAACCAATCATTGAGAGAAATCTAGAGTACCTAAGCTATTAGGAAAGCGTATCTAGATGGCAAAATGATTGAACATTTTACTTCTAAACAAAAGATAGGTTATTTGAATTCTTCCAGATGTCCCTTAGGGAGCTCTTGTGGCATAATTTGTTGGAAGTTGTACTGCTAACTCAAAGGCCACATCTCTCTGGTGGCTCAAATCCACTACCAGCACCATGAGAGAAAGACTAGAAATCTTCTCCTGTGGGAGGAAAACAAATAGTCAATTATGAACGAAATTTCACACCAATGAAATGAGTTTGAGGGTTTCAGATTAAGGTGTTTTTTATTTGTTTGTTTTAGATTTTTGTTTTATTTTGAGAGGCCCCCTCAGAAGAAAAATCCTGATAATCTGCTAGACAAAGTTATAGTCTTGAGGATCCTATGAAGTTCAGTTCTTCTCAGAAACACTTAAGATAACCATGGATGGCATATCAACATCAAGAAGACAAAAATCTGCACCACTAAGCAACATCATAACAGGTTAAGAAAAAATTTAAATTATCAAAGATTTATTTAACTTGAATCACAATCAAGCCGATTAGTACCAGCAATCACGAGATCAGGAAACATATAGCTTTAGGAATCTGCTGTCAGGGGCCTCTCTGAAAAACAATGCTGTCAGCTTAAAGAATAAAGTGTATCTGATTCAAGTCATACTATTTCCAATCTCCAGTCACCTTGATGTCTTTGACTTGTGGTGTTGGAGAAGAGTAGTGAATATTTCATGAACTGCCAAAGGAATAAGCAGATATGTCTTGGCGAAAATACATCCAGAATTTTACTTATAAGCAAGGATGACAAAACCTCATCTCACAAGTTTGGGCATGTTGTTTAGATAAGTGGAAAGTCAGAGATTGAGAAGAAGGTTTTCAATGAGATTAATTGATACAGTGACTGCAGCATTGAGTTCAAGTGTATAAAAGATAGTGAGGATATTGCAGGCTAGGATAGGGTTCAGATCTTTTGTTTACAGAGTCGGTATGAGCTGTACTCAACCCAAAGGTGCACAATGACAAGAAAAGGGGGAAAAAAAGTTTTAATGTTAGCTCATTTGGGGGTTTGCTTAAAGAGAGTAAGAATTTGCAAATTCTTATGTATATAGCTGTTACATCACTACTGAAGACCGAAATACTGTAAGTAACCTAGAATGGGAATGGTCCTGAATGTTTTAATGAAGCTAATGAGACTTATTTAATACAAAATTTCTGTTATCCTCAATAACTATATTATTCACTGAATGATTCTCATCTCTTGACTGAAAATAAGAAGGAATGTAACTCTTATGATTGGCCTGCATCTGCTACAAACAATATCAGGGGGAAAAAATTCCAACAACATAGCAAATATATATTTTTCTTTTCCTCACTAATTCAACATTGGAAACGTATGTTAGTCATTTAGTATTAGGAACTGGAGTAAAATTGGAAGGGCAGAAAATATAAAGTAGTTTAAATTATGAGTAAGTTATGTTTTCTTCTTAAAAGAGACAGCAGTCTAAATAAAAATTCCATAAGTGAGAAATTAAACAATCCCTGAGATTGATCACAGACAGATAGATATTTTTGGCAGAGGAATCTCAGTTGTTCAATTGCCTTGGCAAATGCTTCTAGTCACACTTCTTAATGGGGGCTCAATACACGCTACAGAAATATACACAGGACAAAAGCATAGCTAACTCAACATGTCTTAGAAGAAGTGCAATCAGAGTTCTCCCTAGAAGCAAGAATGATGAGGCTTCATGTCATATAGTTTGCACATGTTGTTAGGAGGGGCTAGTCCTTGGGAAAGGAAATCATGATTGGAAAGGAGAAATTTCAATGAAAAAAGAAGACATTATCAACGAGATAGATTGACATAGTGACT